ATTTTATATATCTATTCTTAGATTTTAACTAATTTGTGAAAACAAAACACTGATAATAAAGGAATATTGGCCCTCTCAGATAGCTTTATTGACCCTGGCGGGCGTCAGGGGCCGAGTATCTAAAAACACTTACTATGCCTGTTCTCACCTCAAGAACAGCCGTAAAAAAAGTCCGGTTTTTCGCGGAGCATTTCCAATTTCTCCCATTATTTAGAGAATGAAGATACACGTAGGTGAATTTTAGATTACATATGTGTTATCTTATCAGGACGTGCACGTTTCAAACGCCAAAAAAGCATTGTTTCTTCATCCGACAACCAAATCTTGTTAGTAATACTTCGCGCGGCGTGTGAACAATGAGCAAAACTTCCCCTTTCCTTGAGGTGAAAACGGGTATAGCTTAAGTAACTAAAATCTACCGACAATTTTAAGTCTTCATAGCTGGCATTTTTCAACAGGAGATTTTCAGCTCGCATTTAATAATGTAGGCTAGTTTAGTGGTTAGATTTTAGAACAAAAAAATAGTATAGTTATTTTGTGATACTTTTCAGCACCTGCGGCAGTGGAATACAGAAACAAAGCTGGGAATGTGCAAAGGCATAGCCACTTGACCTGCCTTCTACGTGTGACCTAAAGATATTGCTCCGCTGGAAGATCGGAACGCGATAACTCGTCGCATGCCCTCGCAGCACACAATGAAATCCATGTATAGGTAAAGATCTTAGTAAAAGCAAACTCGCTGCTAAAAGTCGGCGTTGCATAGTCTTGTTCCGAGTACACGCTAGCATTTTAATAGAACTTCGTTATTATACGTCATTCAAGAAGTGCATAGTGGCTGGCGAAGTGATATTAAATCGTTTGAGGGGCTTACGTCGGGGAATTCTGGCCTTATTTTCGCTCAAACACTCGCGCAGATGCAGAGCGCATTGCGTGCTTTGCTGCTCCTCCTAAAGTGCTTTTTTCAAATAAATATTGCGAAGAAAAATATTGATATTTTCATAGTTTGTTACTGTACAAGGAATATTAGCAATTTAATCAAAACCAACGTGCTATCTATCATGCAAATTAAATTTTAAATATTTTTCTTCACAATATTTATTCGAAGAAGAAAAAAAGCCGACTAACTTGGGCTCCGCAAGCTAATCAATTTTTTTTTTGCACGGGTTCTGGTGACGTCAGGAAGACGCTGAGCTCTTATTGGCTCTGATTGAAGGATAGTGGATAGACCTCGAGGCAGATTGCAATGAGGTCTCCCCACTATCCTTCAAGCAGAGCCAATCAGAGCTTGCTAATTGAGGTCTACCCACCATCCTTTTGATAGAGCCAGTCAGAGCTTGGCGTCTTGATGTCACCGCAGGCCCTGCGAAAAATCAGGCAAACTTGTGGTCCGAATACATCATATGCCTACCCCAAGGCAAAAAGAACGTAAAAAAAAAAAAGATATTGGAGTAGGGGGAGATCAGGAAATCATTTTCGTGCGACCGCTCCGCACACCGCCTTGCGGAGCCATCCCCAGTACGTGTGTGTGTCCCACCTGAATTCCTTACGAAGCAGGGCGCCAAGACCACATTGTAATAAGCAAGATGTATACGCGCCGATTAGATACAACAGTGATAGAGTGGGTAGAGTCACTAACGTGTGTACTGGACACTGATGCAATGATAAACAATATAACTCATATAGTTCCATACCCTACAAACTGTCATAAAATTATCAATGTTTCGTTCTTCCTAATTGATTTAGGTTCATCGGGGAACTCATGTAGTGAGTCCTTGCTTACCATGCAAGAAGATAAAACAATCAAAAATAAAAAAAAAACAATAAGTAAAAGTCGGAGCATCCATCGTGTCAAAACAAAACACTGAGCCTAAACATCCACAAAGTCAAAACATCTATTGATTCAGAACATGAACGTCACGTGACCTCAACATCGATTCAATTTCCCCGCCAAATTTAGTGTGAAAATTGACGTCACATGACTTCGCATCGCGTGACTTATACAAAAAAATTCAGTTTCCCCACTAAATTTAGCGGAAAGATTGACGTCATGTGACCTCACCACCAAAGCAGTTTACTCGCTAAATTTATCCGAGAAAGTGGTGTCACATGACTTCATGTCACGTTACCTATACGCCAATTCAGCTTCCCCGCTAAAGGAAAAATTGACGCCACATGACATGATGTTTTGTGATTTATACGTAAATTCAGTTTCCCCGCTGGGAAAATGATGTCAGACGCCTTGATGTCGCTTGACCTACACACATTCAGTTTTCCCGCTAAATTTAGCGGGAAATGCGGGAATAGACGCTCGCTGTCCGCAAAGAGAGCCTCCCACTGTACCCTCCTCCTCTCTTGCCTACCCTCTCGGCGTAACCCCCGCCCCCAAACAGGCCCCCCTCCCCCCACCTAACCTCCTTCTCCTCCTCTATTGCGTAGCTTTTCTTTGCCACGGCATAGTGGAAAATCAAAACACCTCAAGAGCTTCGCTCTAATTTCGCATTACAGAGAAATGTAAACGTCAGTAGATATTTTTTAATCGGTATAATTTTTTCAACGATATTAGCGGGAACAACGAAAACGGTGAAGACAAAGCAACTAATCTGTAATTAGGTGTCTGTCAACTGTAACCTTAAAATAGGATGATGAAAAGGAACTCTTGTGCAACGGTTTCAAGATGTCATAGAAAGAGGTTGTTTTGTTATGCCCAAATTTTCACACTGTAAATAATGTGTATCGATCTAATTTAACCAAAGATTTGCGCTTGCACACCGTATCAAAATAGGCGCAGGCCTATACACTGGCCTGCAGTATCTTATAAAAGGTAAAAGATAAGTCCCTCGTTTTCGCCCTTCAACTTTGTATGAACTGAAACAGACCTTTCGGCAGCAGCATTCACAACCGTTTTGCGAATGTGGTGTAACCGTCACTGTAAATGGATCTTAGTGTATCCAGGCTTATACTTCTCTGTAATGCGAGCCAAGAGTCAATAAAAAGGAAAAAAAAAACAAAAAAACAAGGAACTTAAAGCGGAGAAAAGAGAAAGAGGGCTACACTTTTACCATGACGGTTTAGCTCCGAGTTGAATTTTTTCCATGTTTAAATATTAGTAATTCTACTTCGTCTCATCCTACGATGGACTAAAGGCCAAAGCCACGGGCCGCCAGGTCCAATCACGTTCCACGCTATACTATGACATGCTTAGCAATAATTAGGTTTGGACGAATAATGCTCCGAACCCCAAAACGCTGCGTAACTTTTATAGCTTCGACACTGCAAAGAGCCAGTAATGTAAAATTGTTGAGTCACTCATTGCTCGATCCGAACCACTGTCCGCCCATTCCCATCAGTGATCCGAGACGCGGGCACCGATACGTGCACCGAAGCGAAATATAATGTCTAAGTGGCTCGCGATTGGATGTGGCGGTTCGTAGCTTCCGCTTTTAGTCCATCGTAGGGTGAGACGAAGTATAGATACTTGTGCATACTGTGAAGAAAATAACAAATGGAAAATCCCTTAGAAGGACCATGCGTTGCGGAGGATTGCCTAAGTAAATCACGGTAAGAAACGATTCTAATATTTTTACAAGAAATCAAATTACGTGACTTGTTTAAAAAAAGAAAAAAAAAGATCAGTGCACGTTACCCATGTCAGCTCCACAGATACGTAATTCAATTTGGAAAATTGTCAGGCGTGGAAACAGGCAAAGTTAGAATTTTGCAAAAGTTCAGCAGCAGACCGTTTTATCGCAGTATTAAATGGACGAGATAAAAAAAAAAAAAACACGGCGAAGACACTTAAGACTGCTACCGTGTAGGAATGCGAAAGCCTTATAGTCCCGCGGGTGAAATGTTTTTCTTAGGGTCATGCCATAGCCTCCAATATATTTACAAAGCGGCCGCCGAAATGGAAAAGGTAGAGCGGTTTACAACGAATGAGAGGAGAGCCATGTGACTGGTGCCCCGCTGCGGCGAGACGCCGAAACACACTTCTCCCGAGCAAACAAGTGTGTTTCGGGTTCTCGCCGCTGCAAAAGGTGTTCGCCGAAGTCTAGGTTCCCCGAGAAATGGCTTTTTGATGCTCTGTGCTACCAGATCCTCGCACTCCGAATCTGCGACAGGGCGCTCCATGACTCTGTCGTCGAACCGCCAGGCTTTGTAAGTGAGTATAGAGGAGGCTAAGGTCCTACGAATAGTGGTTTGAATCGAATAGCACTGCGTCATTCATAGTTTTGAAAATGCAAGGGAAAGCCAAGACGGCCGGTTCTTTCAGCGGTGCAGAAGCTAAGGATGACGCTGTGCTATTCGATTCGAATCGCTATTCGCACACCTTTAGTTTTCGAGTAATGTTTCTACATTAATGTAGAATGTTTCTGCCGGTATTGTATTCGGTGTGTGTTTATTCAGTGCGCACGGCTGTCCGGCGGTGACATCACGTTCCCCCACTGTGCAGGCGCGGCGCCCCCGCCGTCTTCATGACGGCTTCCGCGACGAAGCATCTGCGTTGCTGTACTTTTCTTTGTGTTTTATTTCTGAAGCGTGTCCGCTTTGACCTTGAGCGGCGCGTGCTTGATGACGTATTTTTAGAGCCAGCTTTTGGGCACAACGCTGACACCTTTTCGCGTAATGGGACAGATGAGGCTTTCGCCTTAAACAAACGCAATGCAATAGGCAGGCAACATAGGATAGAACAATCCGTGGAAAGACACCGAGGTGGAAATAAAATATATGGCGATGCTACTTGCAAAGCCATTTGGTCTGGCTGAATCAAGGATCCAAATCATGGTGGGAAACTCAGTCAATTCTTATCTTTGTTGCAATCGTCTGCTCTGCTTTTCTCCTCTCTCGGCTAAATTATCAGTGTGAAGCCCGCATTGCGTATATTCTACTTGGAGCTTCTCAGGAGCTGTCAACCAGCTCCCAGGGACTGTTGAATTCGTTATACATGCATTGAGGGTGCCCCTCGGTCGTTCGCTGAGGTTGTGCCGTTCTGTGTGGCGCAGGTTTCATCCACGACTACTCCACGGGTCACCTGGCCATTGGAGCAGAAAGCCTCGTGAGTCCGGATCGCTGTGTGTACAGCTCGCTGCTGGAGCCACCGCTGCCAGTGCTACGGCCCCTGGACCCCCGGGACGAGCACCAGCAGCGGCCGCCTTCGCGTGTCCTGGACTTGAGCGGACCGGAGTTCTACTCGCGGCCTTTCCGGCAGCAGCCGTCGCTGCCTGCACTCTCGCTCCAGCCTTCGCACACGGGAGACCTCAGCCTGAGCTCCCCCTCGAGCGAAGGCCGACGCAGCAGCAGTCCGGCGTCCAGCTGCTCGTCGACCTCGTACAGCGCAGGCGGCACGGCACGGCCCTCAAAGTACAACACTGCCGTCACTGTCAGCTACACGTACGACGCCTTTTTCATCAGCGACGGCCGGTCCCGGCGCCGCACCTCCGTGGCCTCCATCTCCAGCGGATGCCCCGTGCGACGCCCGGTCAGCGAGGACCGACCGCGCTACACGTGCGGCGAGTGCGGCAAGAACTACGCCACCTCGTCGAACCTGTCCCGGCACAAGCAGACGCACCGCAGCCCGGACTCGCAGCTGGCCAAGAAGTGTCCGACCTGCGACAAGGTGTACGTGTCCATGCCGGCGCTGGCCATGCACGTGCTCACGCACAACCTGAGCCACAAGTGCCCCGTGTGCGGCAAGGCCTTCTCGCGGCCCTGGCTGCTCCAGGGCCACATGCGCTCGCACACCGGCGAGAAGCCGTTCGGCTGCGCCCACTGCGGCAAGGCGTTCGCCGACCGCTCCAACCTGCGCGCCCACATGCAGACACACTCGGGGCTCAAGCACTTCAGCTGCGCCAGGTGCCACAAGTCCTTCGCCCTCAAGTCGTACCTCAACAAGCACCTAGAGTCGGCCTGCTTCAAGGACGGCTCCGTGCCCTCACCGCCGCCTTCGCCCACGCTGTCGCTGGCATCCAGCGACTTGATAGCACCAGCTCTGGCTGCCGTCGTGATGGGCAATCACCACCACGCTGTTGCCACGTAGGCCGGCCGCAGCCGCTCTCTGCCCTCTTAGTGCCTGGCCGCGGCCGATTTGCCAAGTGCTCGCCTTGCGTTCTTGATCGGCCTGGCCCCGGATGACCTGCGCCGACAAGACCAGAGCGCCGAAGGGCCCAGCCGTCATACCCACTTTCGCCTCCTGCCCCAAAGTCTGGTCGGTGTATGACCCGTGTTGGATTGGTTAGCCCCCTTTGGTTGGCCGGGATTTGTTCGCCGGTTTTAAATTTCATCTAAGACACGATACAAAGACTGGTCAGAATAAGGCAGCCACGGCTTCGGCGAGAAAGATTCAAGGTTGAGATCGCTTTTGTGATATAAACATCGACAACACTTAGTTTGTCTAAGCAACGGTGAACTACTTTGTCATGTAATATTGAGATGACCAATGCAAAATGGGGTATTCGCCAGTTTATATTTTGCTTTATTAACGTATATTATATTTAACGTGACTGTCGTTGCGAAGCAGATGCATTCTCATAACAATGTTCCGACCAAAATTAAAAAAAAAAAAATCAGTCAATAAATTTGGACACATAGTTAAGAGAGGAGATGTTGAAAGACAATATAGAATGTATCTTTTCCAACCACCGGTTTCAATTCAACAGAACAACGACAAACCTCTGGATCTATGTGCTTGAAAACGACCAGGCGGCGCGCTCGGGCGTTTCATTCACTTTTGCTCCTATGCAAACGTGTACACCAATTCATCCCTCGCTTAATACGTAGATAAATTGTCTATGATTGTTGGATATGTTACACGAAGTGACCGATAACGGTAGTGCGTGGCATCTAGAGCTTCCCTCTTTATGAAATCCATACTTTATTGCGCTATTAAGAGACTACAAGGAATATCCCAGGAAACGGAGAGTACGCTTTCAGGTCTTCGGTTCTTGGGAGTCCTAACTAACAACCCCAATAAATGGGGATCCGGAAGTCAAAACGAATCGCGCTCAAACTTGGCAACCTCGTCAACTTCGCTTTGCTTCTCATCCATTCAGTAAACGCAGTTGAATGCTAAACCTAGCTATGAATATTTTTTAATTCAATTGAAGGCGTCATCAGATTTCATTGCTTACGCCTGTTGTTCGGTTTCCCTGTTTATCTTTAAATATTTTTGCCGGCGAGCATACAGTGATTTTTGTTTTAGCCGATGGGTGTCCTTTCACACCGGCACGAAAATTTCCAATCAAATTGAAGCGTTGGCCGGCATATCCCCCGCTGCTCCCCTTGCGTACGTGTTTGTAAGCGACAATCGATGAAGATAGAAATGCGTAGCTATTCAAACGAGTCATCCGTCCGTACAACAATAGCTCGTTAAGCCATAGAGCTGACAGTTTTGTTTGTTTGTGTTAGTTGGGTGTCGTTCTCTCCACCTCCCCGTCCCTAGAACTTAACCTCTTCGCCCGTCGCAGTAGAAATTCGAGTTCACACCATCCCATGCTTTAGATCCATCCTTAGATAATAATTAACCAGTGCATGGTACTTCGTCACTACTTCACTCTAATACTATGAACTCTAAAGCCAGCTAGTTCTCTGTAATAACCAAATCCCCAGTATCGAGGTATTGAAACCCCGTTCGTGTTTATTGAAATCTAATGAAGATCCTTCCCAAATGAACGGCCTACCAACATCACAACAGGAATATTGCCTTTCCTTCCTCTACATACTTTGGCACTTCGTAGAAATACTCACTCTGGTTCATCATGTAAGTAAGATACGCGACCGTCATTATGAGATATATTTTGAATACACGAGAAAGATGTGGAAGGGGAAACGGCCTTGGGAGGACGCCGGTCCACTTTTCATTCTTATGGCGCTCGGGACCGACACCACTGAAATATTTCACAGTATAGAACATGTAGTGACAAATGTATGTACATAGTATCGTAGCATGATCATAAACACCTTGGGGCGGCACGCTATGTTCTACATAAAATTAAAAAAAAACCTAGTATGAATATTTGTCTTCAAGGTAGACGGAGGGGAGGGGTGCAAAACGGCGTCCATTTGCCGCACTAATTGAGGGCTATTGGCCATGTTAACAGGATGTTTATTTCGGGCGGTCTCTCTAATCTAGACAGGTTTTGGAGAGTTGATTTTTCAACTTGCTTCAACAAAACCTGAAAATCAAAAATCACAGAACGAATAAAAGCAACTTGCTAGGCCGACTTGCGAAGATTTTGGAAGTTCTCCCAGGTTTTGGTACTTCATAAAACAGTGATTAGCGGATAATTAATGTGCAGCATCATAAAAGCGGTAGCAAGTTTTATTTTCTTTTAAAGTACGAGTAGCAACAACGTACAGAGCGCGAGTGGCACAGCACAAACAAGCGATCGCCGGTTCTTTACATTTCTGTTTGCTGACAACTGCAATTGGAACGCGAGCCTCAAGTTCAGGTTCATACCCTCTCATTTTTCTGTATCCGTGTTGAAGCGCGTTAAAAAAAAAAAGTAGAAGTAGGAGAACGGTGAGATCTATCATGAGTAACATTCAGAAAGGTGGCAGCCTCGCAGTACCCCGTGCATTCTGAGCCACGATATCTCTGAATGGGTTCATCGGCAATTGAATTTATGGTGCTGCAGATCTATAATTTTTCCTCTCTCGCTCCTGTTGCCGTTGTCCTCACTGCCCTGCGTTCGTAAACTATCCGCCCCCCCCTCTCCCCCCGCAGAATTTAAACAACGACTTTAGGGAGCGGCGTTTGAGCCTCGAGGTTGCACATTTCACACAACTATAATTCAGAACCCTAATTCACAACCCGATAGGTACACCCTTCGCGCACAAATTGGTTTACATAAAACAATTATTGTTTCGAAATTCTCAAGCATGAGACGATTCTGCGCTGGGGAAAATGCTCAAGGTTAAGAAAACAGAAAGAGACGTGTGACGGTGGTGTGTGTCTGCTGGCCTCGCTTAAGCGCGGCCGAAATTGTAGTTTCGATCCGAGAGCAACGATGGTGTTCCAATGAAATGATTAGAAATCATTCCTTCATTATGACAGGTTCATCTAGTCTGACGAAGAGAATATATATTTAATGTTTTGGAATTATAAAATGCCCGAGTTGATAAACTGTTGATATGCAATTTCAAAACTGTGTTTTAAAACGAACGCTGAGTTTATTGAAATAATTACCGTTACTCCAAAGAAAGGTCGGCCTTTTTAAAGAACAATTGCAAATGCGGTACTGGAAAAAAAACAGAAAAAAAAAACCTTAAAAATTAGATTGCACGACGTAAATGATGCAGATATATTAGAAAATGAATTTCGACGCCGTCCTTTTAACGTTGCAAAACGTCAACATTGCGAACACACAATAATGAAGAATATGTAATGAAAAACACGCAGTTAAAAAAAAAATATGTGTAGTTCCATTCTGCGTTTCTAGACTCTCTGCGTTTTAACAATGCTGGGAACTCAGCAACTGATTTGTCTGAAGGATAATTTGTTTGGAATTGCATGAATAATATTCTAGGCAACTGTAAGATCGTAAAAAAAAAAGAAAAAAGAAACAGAGATACACAATTCTCCTCATTTTAAATGTGAGCATATCATTTGCCTTGTCATTCGTTTAGCTTCCTTTTTATGTAGAGAGCGATGGTTTCTTTTCTAGGCATTCCACTCAAACATTAATTTACAATCGAATTAATCTTTTTATCAAGAAACACTCTAAATTAAATAAAGGATGCACTCGCATATTCCTTGAGTTCTAAAAATTATTACAATCGCCTTTAGATTTGGCATGACTCCCTAATTTGACAAAGGTGCCGAAATCAAAGCCATTAATACTGATTCAGAGTGGCTTCGCAAAAAATGGCCGTAATTTTTTTTTAACCTCTTTAGTATAAACCATCTTTTCATCGCATCAAGAATAACAACAGCAAATCATAGTGGCACGTCTCTTTAATCACCAAAAATAATAAAAAAATAAACGATTAGGAAATTATAATATGCTTGCAAGGAAATGAATAAATAAAAAAGACAGGCTACCGCATTTTTTTGTTCTAGAATACTACGAAATAACATAAAAATACAAAAACTATATCTGCACCGCTGTTCTTCAGCAAAGAAATATTTATGTCTAAATAAGAAACAACAAATACTTGCGTACAGCAATAAGCCCTGAATGTTACAAGATTTGACGTTTCCATGAACTACAATCAGCCGGGCGTCGAAGTGACGCTACGGTGACATAATCCTCGTGACGTATTGTTGTAGACACCTATGCATAGAAGAGGCGCGCGAATGCCGACGATAGCACTCGAGCCGAACTTTAACACGTCTTGCGGTGACAGGAAGACACATGTCTCCAAATTAAGAGTAGTCAGTGCATGATGAGGTCATCATTTAAATTTATTTCGAATTTAAGTCCCGATTGATCTGGTAATTGAGGTACTATTCTTTAAAGAAAATGCACAAGTGATTGTTTGACAGGTAAAACATAAACTTCTGTTTCTTCGCCTACACTGTTATGACAATCAGGCATCGTGGAGTAAAATACGCATCCTGCAAAGTAGGTGCAACATATTTGACTTAACGTTTTTAAAGCTTGTGCTTCCCATGTAAGAATTTTTTTTGTTACCTCGAAGGATAAAGCCACCAGTACCAATTAAAAAAAAAAGTAAATAAATTTATGACCCCAGTGCCTTTCCAAATTTATTTAGTGGATAACCTTAAGTCTAAACCAAGTTTCTACTAAAAGAAAGAAGTTACGACTGTAGAAAAAAAAATAAACAGCTCGAACTTGTGGCGGAAATAGGACATTTTTCAATAATACCCATCTATAGTTCATCGTACACAAAACCAAACTAACACACACCTCGTTGGTTAGGCGCGTATACGTATTCCTGGCGCTCTCTTTTGTTTGTGTTTTTGTTTTGTCAATTTCAGGCAAAGATAAACGTAACCGGGTACAATTGGACACTAAGGACAATGTCTAAGATATCAATTGTTAATTACAATTTGTTTCTAGTCAATTTAAGCTGAACATATAACACTATGCAATACTTAGTGAACCATACAAAAGCCGCAAAGGAAGCATTCACTTCACTTCTACTCCAAAAGCAATTCACATGGACGAGAAGTTCACTCGAGCTCTTCGGCATTGGCGCACCTCGAAATTCAATAAGTACCCATTCCCTACCGTACCTCTCTTCGCGTAGCAATGATCCGCCAAATTACTCAATATATTGCTGTCTCGAAAAAGAAAAGAAAAAAAAAAACGCGAACCGCCAATAGGCACTCTAAATACGCTTCGAACATCACGTAGTTTCCTATGCAATCCAAGACGAGCCGTTCCGTGTAGAGTCCTCGCCGTCGGTAGCCGAAATAGCCCAGGAGAAAGTGTCGACCCGGGTTGGTTCTGTCGTCAGTGACGACCACGTCGGCCGTGTTGACTTTTGGGTGTTACTGATGCTGCATCTGACTTTAGGAGACTCCTCTCGATGTTACCGCGTCGGAGGTTCCGCTTCCAAGAGACCCCATTGAAGGCAGATCCGAGGCAATCCTTTATGCGTGCCCGTAGATGTAGGGAAGGCGACTTCTCGCCTGGCAAAGCAGAAGTTCCTCGAGAGCCTGGCAGGGGGAGAGAGGAGGGGGGGGGGGGGGGGGGGTGATGCGGAGCCTCTGACGCTAGACAGCTCCCCACGAACGTCGTCTTGCAAACAAGCAATCGACATATTCGCACAGCAATAATACAATGTACAGGTACTCGTAGAAATGTATTTTGGTTTCCTCCCTTTTGTTTTTTTACTCCGCGTTCCATAAGAATTAGTGTGGTTGAGAAACGAGTTGTAGGTGAGTTTTGTGCTCGCGGGTTGTGTGTAGATATTGAGGTTGATTCTTCCAGCACGACGGAAATGTATCTAGCGCGGAGGAGGCAATGGCGTAGATTCGTTCTATTTCTCGTTGGAAGCAGAGAGCTAGACACACTGTATACTTCAAAGTAGAGACAATCGATTTTTTTTTTCGGAGGCACTCAGTGCGCGCATGGCTTTTATGTCGTGATTTGTTCCCTGTGTACAGAATCTTCGGCTTCATTGCATTTGTAAATAAGGATGCGTGTGCGTTTCATTGGTGTTGGTAGCTGATCTCAGCGAGGTATGTGTGTGGGGGCTGTTTGTTATCCCTTCCAGCTCGCGTGAAAACATCTTGCGGTGGTCCAACGGCGCCTAGTGTTGCAACGATGACCAACACCGAGGGTCTGCGTCCATGGTTGCAAACTTTGGTTTGGCTGTTTGTCAGTAACCTCGTTAAAACTTTCATACACCTCCAGTTTCCTTGAGATTTCGTACAAAAAGTCCCAGCACAGATACAATGAAACAAGTATCGAGGGCCATCGTTTTATGAAAAAAAAAAACAAATTGGACAACCAAATCAGTTTCCTCGTAAGGTAATATTTTGGAAGAATAAAAGATGCAAATTCAAACCGCGTGATCTACGAGACGCAAATTCAAACTCGTGTATTGATAAAAAAAGTATCACGGTGCTTTGACTAAAGCTGATGCCACGGAAAAGAGTTTACGTTAAAGTTTACATTGTTGTATTCTAAATCAAAATATGCGGGCCTAATGCGTAGAAAGGCTATAAAAACGACATTTAGGTTGTTGTTTCTAATCTTTTTCTATGGGAATGGGGATACATCTTGCAAAGAGACTGAATATGCAGTGGTAAGAAATCTGGACACGATTCCGACAACGGTGTCAGAGCAAAGAGTGCAACCTGGACAACATCCCCTTCCATACTCAGAAGTGAAATGAGTAAACGGCAACTTGTCCGGCACTTCAGGTATCGTTTAGAGGATCAATGGTTCTATTGCTGTTTACACTAGAACAAGTTTATAGAGCGTGTTTGCTTCTGTAAAATACAGCGATCATGTATTGTGGAAATGAAATATTGCAAACCGTTGGTTCGACTGCGTCATTATGTATTATAGGCAAAATTGTCCATTTTCTTAACGCTTATTTCTGCATAAGGGAGAACCTCCATTCCATAATGTGCTGATGAGCAGCATAATGTCTGGCATGGCATGCCAGGTTTCCGCGCTCGAAATAAATGATTCTAACATCTTGAGGAAAATAGAAGGTGCCTAACAATCATTTGTTGTAAAACTGCCTCAAAGAACCTCCCGCGTATTGCTTGTATCCTTATTATTAAATCCTTTCTGGACGTTCCCAAGAAGGCGACATTAATTAACGTAATCATTCGAAATCACTACTCACACTTCGTGCCTTCATGACACATTGAAGTGTTAATTAATTCTACTCGCGCACGCTCTCGATTTTGCGCCAAATCTTACGAATATATTCTTTCTACAGGAGGTACCTACATTCTACAATGCCTGAAATTGTTTTATACCAAGTGTATAGCATAAGGATAAAACGAACATGCCAATGAACTGTTGAAATCTATCAGTCGATGGTACGCTTGAAAGAAAACAAAAACACGGTTCCAGAAGAACGCCGATGGGTGCGTGTAACATTGCGGCTTTACTATAGGTTTTTATCATATTGTTCAAAAGTCAGTAAATTAAAACTAATAATATGTTTTATACACATATTACTGTGCAACCTGCATTACTACAGTAGGAAAAAGTGAGAAGGTCGTCGAATCGTCATGACGTTACGACTTAACAGCTGCTGCAGAGGCGCGTAACTATACTATGTTATCTTTATATATAATCTGCCGATATTGCTTGGTGATGAAATGTGACTTCCGAATTATAAAGCTACATAAAATTA